ACAAAATTCATAGCCAAGATTTGTTTTTTCCTACTTACCTATCCGAGGAAAAACTATTTAATCAAAAAATGGCAAATTTGGCCTCTAGTTTGAGTCCACAGTAATCATCTAGGATAAAAGCCCTATTCACCAATCCAGAACTCTTCATAAAAGATAATAATTGCCTTCTTTCCAGGCTTTATATTGTCAAATATAGCATCCTACATGTTTCGGCTTGAAAATTCAATCATTTTATCATTGTAAATTAGCATCGGTATGGTCCTCTTAACTGCTGGCAGGTACGCCCAAAGATTCCATTAGAAACCTCCATCTTGACTGACGAAGACTATTAGGCCCGGCCACAGAGCAAGTCCACCTAGACAACGACTCGTACATAAAGGTTTTGTATTTTAACAGATGAAAGCTAGAATAAAATTGGGACTCTGGGACCCGGCTTTAGACGACAGATTCTCGAGGCAGGCAAATACTTTCATGCTAGAAGACATCGTCGTTAGGTTTGATTTGAGACGGTTGGTGGCAGCAGACCTTCTAAGGATATCTCCTCTAAAGTACTAGAGCCTCCCTCTATAATAGGGTCTAATTATTTACTGATACTGCCGTTTTTATTAGTAAATCGCGAACAGATATAAATAATTTGTCATTGCTCATTGAAGCAATTACTTCTGTACCACATCAAGCCTATTTTCTGACCAATATGCATTACTATAAAGTTAACGTTGTAACAAAACAGCATATGATTGTGAATAAGAGTTACAGTATTAAAATCTAAACACCGCGAACGTAGCTTATGATTTTGTTTATTTCAACTAAAGACTTCTATAACTGAGATTTTAACCCCAAAAGCATAAATAAAGCCATCAAGGCGCATCATCTGAAATTTTAGTTTAGCTAGAACCTATACCATTGGGAAGGTGGGAAAAAGTGCATCCATTCTCCGTAGGCCAGTAAATGCAACAGAATTGCTTACGTGAATTGCCTGCTTGGCTTCATGGACATCACGCAGAAGTTCAGCAATATCTTTGTCGAGCACGGCACAGAACTTGTCAATGTTGCCGTCGTGTTCAGCAATAGCTTTGTCAATTGCATTTTTGGCGCGGTCAATGGAGGGATAAAGCGTCTAAAAAAATAAGAGTGGGTCATGAAGTGGGAGTGAGTAAACCCAAGTATGTGCATCAGTAACGAAGCTAGGCAAGGCCTTAAAAAATGCCTAATTAAATTATAACGACAAAATATGCTATTCGGACCTGGTGGCCACGGCCTGGTGACAGAAAAAGGATAGATCATTGGTTTATGGATGTGCTTATTGTCTTATAAGGCTAAAACTATGATTTTGCCGTGGAAGAACGCAAGCTAGATTGATTTTAAGTTTTATTGAAAAAGCATCATTTACTAATAGTACCATTAACTTGTCCAAGAGGGTCGACGTACCTGGAAGACTGCAAGATCTTCTGGCGGTGTTGGAACTTTGAAAGCCTCAATGAGATCGCACATTTCCTTGATGATGTCGCCCTCTTTCTCAAGTGGTTCGATCTGATTTATCGAAAAGAATAAATGCACGAATAAGTGGGTTACAAAGCATTCCTATAGTCAACCTCTAGTAATGTCGTGGTCGGTGTGTGTGTGTGTGTGTGTGTAATGGCTTAATAGCATAAGTTATTTTTGAAGACATAATTATCGTCTGATTGAAAGAAACGGGAGAAGAGTATTTTAAATATACCGAAAATTCTTCACTTATCTTCGCCCTGTTGGAAGGTAGTAAACATGCACATTAGTTATGAAGACCATGACGGTGTGGCCTTTGGTATAGTTGAGGTCTCCTCTCGATGTATAGCAGTGGGCTGACCTCGTTGTCTCGGCTTGATCGTGTTGTCAGGTTACTTAGTTGGACGCACCTTGTCCGAAGTCCAAGCAGTCAGAATTCCCAGCTTTGGGCAAGGTGCACCCAAATAAGTCACCTGACAATATAATCAAGTCGAGAAAATGAGTTCAGTCCACTGCTATGCATATTAAAGATTTAAATGCTGCATGTATTACTTGAATAGTGAAAATATTCATCCTTTGTCGAATAATTTAAGCAAGGTCTTCTAATTTAACTTTTACATAATCTTATAAATAAGCTTATGATGCCATTGCATCACTCTTGGTCTCCTCTACTAAAAGATATTTTCATCTAGGCTGGACTGCAGCTTTACCATCATCCTCAGCGCTTCAACGGGAGTCGAACCTGGTTAATGCAGCGACTAATTTTGATAATTCTACGACTCTGCCACATTGCCACGAATTCTAATATTACACAGTGCAGATGTGACTTTCAAGGCGAGCCAAACCTATCAAATTTCACATTTAATGGGGGAAATGTCAATGAAATAAATTTGTTTTTTTTGTTTTCAAGTAGATTTTTGATATCGGCAGTGAGGAATGAGCTGCGATTACATCCACTTCCTTTTCATGCACTAACTTCACCCACTCGAAAGCAGGTAGTCAAACCTTAATCATTTTTCGTTTTAAGTAGGGTTTCTAGACTACCCTTAAATCAGATATATGAGATGTTTTTACCCCATTTTGTTTAAGATAATGAAGGATTGGAAATTGAATCTCCCAATAATTATATGAGTGGGCCTTAGGGTTCAATTAAAGTTCATATAGCTTTGCTTCCTAAAATGTATTCTAATTCAGGGTGGACTGGATTGGACTACTATTTTGGAAGCAAGGCTATGTGAAATTCAATGGAAACAAAAGACCTACTCATATGATTGTTGAAAAATTCAACTGCCAGTCCCACATCACCTTAAACTAAATAGAGTTTATTCATCTCCTTAATTTGCAGTTGCCCTTACAATCGACAATGCTGCTGATATTCATAATAAATATGTTTTTCTGCTAACAGTTGATTTTAAATAGAAACTGTATTTATCTCTGGTCACCCAAAATGCAACAATCCAACTATCCGATTTTCGTCACATTATGGAACTTAGGGTGAGTACAGTTCTCATTCAAGATCTTCTCGTACTATCAAAACCTATTCATTAAGATTTAAAAACTAATAATTGAGTTCGATCACAATTCCATGAGTAGGTCTCAAGATTCATCCTCCCAAAAGGCTATTTTATCCAGGTTGGACTGGACTGCAGATTCGATCCCATCGCATCGTTTCTCACGTACTCATAACGGGATTATATTACCGAGTGGCCAATATCGCTGCGGAGCTACCACTCCACTCCACTCCGCTCCGCTCTACGGCCAATGATGCCAGCGGACCATAGGCCGGATGAGACATTCAAGGTGAGCCAGATCTTGCTTACATAATATTTATTCTGTGATTGTCTATTAACCAAACAGGCATTTTACATTTTAATTGAGAACGCTACTTGTTTTAGGTATGAGTAGGTTTCGAGACTACCAGCATTTCTTGAATACGCGTTTGCATAATTAACAATCTAAGAATAAATGTGATTTATAGCAGGTTTGGACTTTTTGAACGTGAAATCTACTCTGTAAACCTTCGGCTGAGGAGTAGATTGATAACAACGACCCTCTATCGAATCCCGTTGGGGTTGCTGATGAGACGTAGGTAGGTCAAAAATGCTTTACATCCTAATATTCTCGAAACCTGCGTACATCGAAAGTAAGCTAAATCATCATAGGACCAACTTTTTGTTAAATGATTTTGGTATCTTTCTCCTGTTCTGATACATCCTTCTATCCCTTATTTTAGATATCTGTCCATTTGATTAGCTTTAGTAAGGCGTTATCGCCTTGTCTCTAATTTCCTTGGATCCCTTAAATTTGTGCCGAAATTATTGATCCAACATGGACATAATGATCTTCAAACTACTTCATTCATCCCAAAAGAGAATCTACTTTGTGCCCTAGAAGATACGTTTCTTTGCTTACTGGCTGACTTATTTCATTGCTGCAGATTGAGTCTAGGAATGGCTAGACTCACTGATGATGTCGATTACGATGCCGGCAAAACGTACAAGCAAGTACTAAGTCTATGGCCCGATTATGTGCGAGAGGATGTTAGACAAAGTACTTTATTCAAGACTATTTTAACAAAAAATTCATGTTGCGAAACGAGGTCAGGCAAATTCTATATGAAAAAATAGTCATCCCGAAGGAATACGATCCTTTCTGTAAACATTTTACAGTACAAGAAATAGGTGCCTAAATATTGATGAATTTGAGTATTACTTGCTCATATACTGTGAAATACCCTTCTTCTTATACTCAACCCTAAAGTTATCAGTAAATGTATCGTGAAGGAAGGTCTAGTCTTGAATAGGAAAGCTAGTAGACCAATAAATAACCAACAAATAACCAACTAATAGAAATTTTTTGAAGTTATAATGCTATAATCTTGGTCACTTTGCCTTTAATGATCATAATGAAAAATGATATATATATATATATATATATACTTTA